AGTTTCCAGTTTATGGGCCATGTTGTACCTAAAGAAATCCTGGCCTGACTTCATGCATTCTTTTCAGTTTCTTTTCAGTTGTATACATGAACGAAATGATGTTTGTATATCTGTCTTCTATTTTGCTCATTTAATTGACTTTCATAAAAAAAATTCTATGAGATTTACTCTTGATTCTCTTGGATCTTTTCTAAATGACTTCTAGAATTCCTAATCATATATGAGGCATATAAATAATACAAAATATAGTCTTAGCTACTCAAGTTTAATCACTTGGTATGCTGGGGGTATTTTGCTAGCAAGATCATATGTGAGATGTTTAGTATGTTTCTTTTAGTTCTTTCTGTCATATTTTGAGAAAGACACTTTATAACTAGTGAAAGGGGAAAAGTGAACACTGGAGTCTTATTAACAAATGATAATGAGATACTAGAACTGGGGACATCTATAAGGATACAAAAATTTTAAACCTCAAATATTAAAATGTTACAAAAGAAACAGATTTGTTTTAGGTTAATGCTGACATTATTCTTGCAATGTTTCTCACCTTGAGCTTGGAATCTATTAAAATCTCTGGGACTATTTTATGTAAACTATTTAATCATCTCTCCACATTTTCTATGTATTCAAGTACTTAGAGGATTATTCTACATTTGTCCATTGTAAATTTGACTGTGTTGGTTCTAACCTACTTTCTTTTTCTTTTGGCAGTATGGGGGTTTGAATTCAGGGCTTTGTACTTGCTTAGCATGTGTTTTACCATTTGAGTCACAACCCACTCCTTTTTCCTTTAGTTGATTTTAGATAGGTTCTTTTTTGTCCAAGGTCAGCCCCAAATCTTAGTCTTCCCAAGCTATGTCCCTTAAATAACTAGAATTACAACCGTGAGCAACTACACCCAGTTAATCCATCATTTTAATTGTTAAAACTGTTTATGAATTGGCCTATTTTCTATCTAATCAATTGTTTCTTAGTGAAAGTTACCCATAAAGATATTGGACACAACAGTACAGGGGAATCCTGGGCATGTTGCTGGAGGCCTCTCTTCAGGTTGACATTGTTGAATCACATTATTGCTCAGTTTCACTCATTGAACCAGGTGTTAGCATTCAAAGACTGACCACGGTGACCTTCATCCTTGAAAAATCTCTTTGAGTGTGAGTGAAAATTGTGACTCTGGTGATATTATTGGCATGATTGTGTTTTGTTATAGCATGTGCTAGTCAGCTTTCTGTCACTCTAATAAAAGACTGAAGAAAATCAACTGAGAGGAAGAAGGGTTACTTTGGATCACAATTTCAGAGGTCTCAGTCCATGGTTGCTTGGCTCTATTGCTTCGACCCTTTAGTAGCCAAGCATACTGTGGTGAGAGTTCATGGCTGAGGAGGCTGCTCACCTCACAGCCTGAAAGTAAAGAGAGGGGGAACAGAAATGGGTTGGTGTCCCAATACCTGCTTCAAGGGCATGTCTCAGTGACCTAATCGCATTCCACCAAGTCCTGTCAATGAAAGGTTCTACCACATGAAGGACTAAGCTTCCAACACATAAACTTTGGGAAGACAAGCCATATCTAAACTATAGTGAAATGCCAACAACAACAGTGTTTGAGATATAAGGAAATTGACCAATCTCACAGACCCTTCACAATGTACTTAAGATTTAAAGGTATTTTTCTTATTTCTAGAGTCCTTGCCTTAAATCTCTATAGCTCCATCTGCCAGCCCTCTCTAGGATACAGGATAGGTCAAAGGAGCTGGTTTGAGGGTTTATTTTTTTGTTTTTTGGGTCCGGTCGTGGGGCTTGAACTCTGGGCTTGGGCGCTGTCCCTCAGCTCTTTCAGCTCAAGGATAGTGCTCTACCACGTGAGCCACAGCGCCACTTCCGGCTCTTTTCTTTTTGCTTTTGTGGTGCTGAGGAATCGAACCCAGGGCCTCAGGCATGCAAGGCAAGCACTCTACCACTGAGTCACCTTCCCAGCCCTGGTTTGGGGGTTTAAAGAGAGGGAGACAACATGATACAGAGGGCTTTGTAAAACTAAGATGTGTCTGAAAGTCAAGGAGGTACTAAGCCCAGAACATCTTGGCAGCTTATCCTGCAGCAAAAGGAAACATGCTTCTCTTTTTATTTGTGCTTTTCTTACTGGCTGAGCTAAAGCCCCTCCCTTCCTGTCTTAGCTATTGAAACTTGTTAGACAGCCCCAGCTTCCCCCACCCCAAACCTCAGTCCTACTCATCTGAAAAATGAGGAGTTGGGTTAGTTGACCTTGAAGATTCTTTTTAGCTCTCAAATTCTACTAGTTAAAAGGAAAAAATAATATTTTGGTATTGCCCCTACATGCTTCTGGAGATAATCAGAAGCTTCTACATTACCCAAGACCCCTGAAAATTCAGATAAGAGGTTTTGGCCTATTTGACTGCAGAAGAGGCAGTGGTGTGGAAACAAGGGGATGAGAGGGAAGGTGGAAAAGTGAGTTGTATAGGGGCTGGGACTCTGCCAGTTCAGGCAGCTGCCTTTCTTTCTAGAGTAGGGAATGGGGCTCACTGGGTTGCTGTAGCCTTAAACTGTTCTAGAGACCTGAGACTGGGAGAAAATAAAAGGCTTAGGGAAAATCTGGAGCCAGAAACTCAGAATCCAAGGTTCAAATGATTTACCAAATGCTAGCAGTAGCCAAGAGAGACAACACGAGACCCAACTTTTCACCTTAATCAAACTTAACCTCACATTGCCACTGTGGACACAGGGCAACAGGAGCCTGAGTAGCCAGGAGTTAAAGTTAATCGTAGCCCAAATCCCCTTGGTTAGCAGAGCTGATACAGTTCACCCCATGGGAAAGTGAGAGGTAAAATAAGAATTCCATGTGCCTCTTCTCTGTGCTCAGGGAGTGCAAGCAGCCTTCCTGAATTTCACTGGCAAACGCTCAAACATGTAAGGGAATTTTACACTTAATTAGAGAAGAAGGCAACTTACTTCAGCTTCTTTCAGAACTTTTTTTTTACCCCTGGCTCAGTGAAGTCAGTGGAGAGACCCAGTTACCATCTGGCACATGAGGCATTCAATCAGTGTCTAGTCAGTTTGAGATAGCAGATTCCAAAACAGAGACAGTTAACTCTGGAGATCCTATCAGACGGCGCAACCTGTGTGCTGAGATTCTTACGTCAATTTGCTAGGTAACGATAAGTTGGACCGATGCTGTCATTTCAGCAGCTTTATTGAGGCATAATTTACATGCCTTAAAGTTCACCCATGATAAGCTTTAGTTGATGTACAGAGTTTTAGTTAACGCAGAGAGCTGTCCTTCACTTCTGCCTAGTTTGAGAACATTTTCATCTTCCTATTTGCAATAAATACCTGTTCTGCACTCAGTCTCAGGCAGCCACTGATTTGAGGACTATCTCTATTTGTCTTTTTTTTTTTTTTTTTTGAGTATTTCCTATTAATGGAATAGATGCACATGTTCTTTTAGAGCTGATTTTTTTTGTTTTTTCTTATGCAGTCATGTTTGTTTGTGGTCCATCTGTTTCATAGGATGCTCATCACCTCATTCTTTTATATTGTTCAATGTTCTATTGCATGGATATGCTGCACATATTTTACCATTCACTGTAGATGGACATTTGAGTTGTCTTTAGTTTTCTATTATAAATACTACTGCTATAAACAAGTACTACTAGCAAGTGGATTTATTTCTCTTGAGTAAATTCTTAGAGAAAGAGCTTCTACATCATATGGTAAGCTTTATATGTAAAAAGACTACCAAATTGTCTTTCAAAATGGCTGTGCCATTTGATGTTCCTAGCAGGTATATTTAAAGCTTCCAACTTTTTAGCAAACTCAGCCACATTTGTCACTGCCATCTTCTGAACTATGGCTATCCTGGTATAATGGGACATCATGGCATCTCAAAGTACACTTAACTTGCATTCTCCAAGTGAGCAAAGATCTTGAGCATTTCTTTTCATGGGCTTACTATCCAAAAGCACATTTTGAAATGAGACTAAATAGAAATGCAAATCCTTTTAAAAGATATCAGAAATAGTGTGAAAGGTGGGTTAATTTTCTTGCCATTAATAAAGATAGTCATAGGAAGATTAGACTGAATGATCAATTCACTCATAGATTCATTCATTGATGAGTTTCATAAATAGCTATTCAGGGCTAGTACCTGGGGTTGTTCTGAGATCTGGAGGTAAAACCATAAATTATACATAGACCCATTTAATGTGTCTAATGAAGGTATAGACACAGAGCATGTAAATGTTGTGTATGGTGGGGGATTAGAATAGAATAGAATGAGAAAGGGGCTCAGTTAAGAGGGCATCTGTCGGGCTGGGAAGTTGGCTCAGTGGTAGAATGCTTGCCTTGCATGCCTGAGGCCCTAGGTTCAATTCCTCAGCACCACATAAGCAGAAAAAGCCAGAAATGGTGCTGTGGCTCAAGTAGTAGAGTGCTACCCTTGAGCTAAAGAGCTGAGGGACAGCACCCAGGCCCAGAGTTCAGGTCCTAGGACAAAAAAAAAAGAGGACATCTGTCACTCAGTGCAAATATTGGGGAAATCTGGGAGCACTCATTGGATGAAGTAATGTCAAACATGAGTCTCTAGAGATTAGCTGCCACTAACTAGACAGTGATTGGAAAGGAACATAGCATCATTCGTGTAGTCTCAAAGGGATTGAGGAGTTTAGGTGAGAAGTACTAAGGACTAGGCACAGTCTTATAGCATCTGTAAAGACAATAGAGTTCAACATAGCTGGACTTCAATGTGCTGGGGGAAGACATGAATCTAGAGGAACAGGTAAGGTCAAAGTCAAGGTGGGCCCAGCAGAGCACTGCTAATGTCCTTTAGGGACATACCTGTTCTCTGGGAAGTTCTAACTCAGTGGGGAAGACACTAGTGAGAGGAAGCTGTCAGGCCTCACCTGGCCTCAAACCTTTATCTCCCAAGGATTCAACAGGGCCACCTGTGGCACTGAAAATGACATTTTCCCTCTTGTGTTTGGCAGGTGCTACATCACCCTCACCCAGTCTCTGCACCTGACCATGAGTGGAGCACCAGCAGGGCCTGCAGGCACAGGCAAGACAGAGACCACCAAGGACCTGGGCCGAGCATTGGGCATCATGGTCTATGTGTTTAACTGCTCAGAGCAGATGGACTATAAGGTATGAATTCACTCCACTTTGACTGGGACCTGGGAAGTAGTCCAAAGCAGGAATGAGTCTATCCACGCCACTGGCCCAGCTGAGGATTTTTAAAGATTTTAATACTTTGTATTGTAAAAATACTGTACAGATAGGTTACAGTTACATGAGCAAGGTCATGAGTACATTTCCTATCAAGCATTGTTGTCTCCTCCTTTGTTTTTCCCTTACCATCCCTTCCCTCCCCACCTCCACAACTACACTCCCCGCCCACCTAAATTGCAAAGTTTGTTTTTCAACATAGTGTCTTGTATATCTCATTGTTACAATAGGTCAACCTGTATTCCTATTTAAGCATTTTGTTCTTTCCCTTCCCCTCCCCAAATTGGAGAAATGTATATACAAGATGCAGAGCACTGACATCAAATACAGTGAAAACAGGGGTTATACCTTGGGGGAGGAACATACAAAGAAAGAAAAAAATCACATGGTACATTATAAATACGTTAGAAACAATAGCAAGCAAAAAAAACACTTGTGTCCCTATCTTGGGGTTCATTTCGCTTAACATCATCTTATTTGGTCATATGCTGACCTTTTCTGTTTGTTCCAGATATATGCTAGTTACTGCAAAAAAAAACCTCAAAAGACTCCACATAGAGTTCTCCTATGACCCAGCATTTGGGCATTTACCCAAATGATCACAAACAAGACCATACTAAAGCTACCAGCACAACTATGTTTATTGCAGCATTATATACCATAGCTAAGCTATGGAACCAACCCAGAATACCCCTCAGTAGATGAATGGAGATAGGAAGGTTTATAATGGCATAGTCATCAGCAAGGAAATTTTGACTAACAGAAAGACAGGGTAGGAGATTTGGAGGAATCAGGAGAGCAGAATCTATGGTAGTTTGTACCAAATATGAAGCACAGTACCAGCTCACAGGGAAGCCCAGAGTCAGATTAAGGAAATGACTCATTTAGTAAGGAATTGAAGTAACTTAAATTTGAGGGTCTAGAAAATAATAGAGAAACATTCCCTAAAAGGGTCTGCAAGGGCAGGCATGACTTCTGAAAACAAACCAGAGAAACATCTACTCACTGCATGACACGACCCACAGTAGACAAGTGCACTGCTAAATGCACTGTATCCAAATGCTTATCCTAAACAGAATGTGAGGAAGGCCATCTTTTCTAGCACCTCAACATCCCAAGGCATAGCTAACAAAATAAAAACAAAGCTATCTTCCAGGTTGTGTTAATGGGGAAAGGCCGCAGAAACCAGAGGCCCATGAGGCCATTTCTTAGCTAGAAATGTTCTGCTCACAAATGAATATAGAGTCATTTTTCTAAAATGTGTAATAACAAATTAACTTGCTGTCTCATCACTTGTATTATATTGTATCCTATGTTTCTATAAACTGCCTCACATCTCTCTTGTAAACAGGATAGCATTTAAATTCCTTTAAAGTATAGAAAAAATGATTGCATTAAATGATATAAGTCATGTGATATAGTGACTGTAAAATAAATTTATTGCAGAGATGATTTTAAAGGTTGCAAGGTTAACGCTTGCAGTTAAAGAGCTGAAAGATTCTTTCCTGAGACTTATCTATCTTTCTACAACTTGAGTATTTTCTCCAGTGAAAATAATAGAATCATGTGACACCCCATTTTCTCATAGCAAGCAAATAAAAGGAAGATCCAGACCCAAAATAACAATTGTCCCTATGGTCCACATTCCCCTACATTTGAGCACAGCTGCTTTTATTGATGAACACATTAAGATAATGTTTCTTTTTAAGGCTGGAAGGAGATTGTTTTTTATTTCCTCTTTAAAGAAATAAACTCCACCTTAAGGATTATTTTAAGCTTCTAGATTCTTCTATGGTTAAGTATTAGCAGCATTGCTGCAGTAAATATAGATTCCCACTGGGTGCATTTTGAAAGACACACTCATTTGTATGTAGATGTGGTATATTGATTGAGGAAAATCAGCCGGTTTCTTCAAAGTCAAATCTAGCAGAACCAATAGGAAGAGACGAGCTGGCCTTACAGCCAGGGGTCACTAAAGCCATTTTACCTAATTCTCTCACAATTAATTATGCAACTCTAACCTCTCCTGTTTCTATAATTGTTCAGAGAGGAAGAAAAATCTATCCTTGGTTCACTGTATCTGTGTGATGCTTTGGTCATCGAGTCAGGACCAGACACCAAGCAGAGCAGCAATAGGTGCCTTCTTAATAATACACACCAGAGCATAGGTGATCCCTTCCTGCTGTGCCAATTACCCCTGCTAACCAGACAGCCTACCTATGCCATTTGCAAGCCACCTTTCCATTTGTTGTCCAGCTGTTCAGAATTATTTTGTTTATTACAAGACCCTCTGGAAATCAAGTGACCTTTTTGTTGCTATAGTTATTGCTCAACATATTCTAAGAATTGTGGGATATTACTGAAAATAGATGATGTGTCATCCCAATTAATCTGCAGCTAGTGTTACCCCAAAAGCAGTAGTTACCACCAGGGAGCACCCCATGCCATCCCAAATGGGACCTGTTGGAATTTCAAAGAAAGAAATAATAGCAACTGGGGTATAGCTCAGTGGCAGAGTGTTTGCTTTGCATGAATTTGGGCATGAAGTCCAAGATTCAATTCCCAGCACAAAAAATAAGTGGAAAGAAAGAGCACTGAATGTCAGAACAGTCAGCAAAAACATTTAGTCAAGGGCCTTTGAGAGTAATGGAGCTTACCTTACTAGTGGACAGAGAGAAAATATGGATGTTCAATCTGAGAATGTCCTCAATGAAGCGGGTCAGGACATAGTGTTCATATGAAGGCTTAAGGTATTTCCTCTCAGGCAGAGATGGAACCCTTTCAGTGTTTTGAGCAACAGTTGAAACATCTTTCTTTACCAGTGTCATCTGTCACTGATCAGAATGTTCAAGAACACTATGTTCAAACCTGCTGGACAAAACTGCAGCTGGCTGGATCACAGAGTACTTAAGGCACACAAACTGAATCAGGAAAGTTGATGGGATGGAGGGATAGATGGATGAGTGGATGGAAAGGTGATATGTAAAAAGCCGCTGGGGGTACGGGGAATTTGGGAGAATAATGGAAGAAGTGACACTGATCCAAGATACTTTGTACACATAAACTGGTATGTTGAATTGAAACCCCTTTGTATAAGTATTTAAAGATAATTAACAAAAAGAAAAAAATGGAAGAAGCCATTTTATCCTACAGATGATAGATAGATAGATAGATAGATACATACATACATACATACATACATACTAGATATAAGTTATATGATAATAGATGAATTATCAATAGATGACAGTTAATAGCTGATAATTAGACAGATGGATAGAATATAACCAAGTCTATCTGGATAGACAAAAAAAATATGAAATAATTAGGGAACCTAATTATCACCCAGACTACGTGATCCTGAATGCTAATGTGTATTGTGTAATCTTCCAGATTAGACAGGGTTCTGGTCACAAAACACACAAAGGAACACAAAAAAATTCCAGGTTACTTGAGTCTTTGGATTTGATATTTCCAACACAGCTAATCTGTTGAAATATAGCTTTGAAGCCAATATTCTTCCCAGACTCCTCCTCCTGTGTTGCTGAGCCCTTCTATCAGGGTCAGGCTGGGATGAAGAAAGGAAGGGACTGAGGATCAAGAACTGTCGGGCATTTCTCCAGGGATCATTTTTAGGTGTCATTCATGACACAGCAATGTATTCAGTTCATATGCCTCCAGAATAAAAGCTAGAAATAAGCATGATGTAATGGCTGAGCTACCTTAGAGGGATTTGGAGAAGAAAAGAAAGGCAATGGATTGAATACTAGAAGGACAGAGGCCACTAAAGGTATGTGACCTTGAGGTAATGGGCTCTCAAAAGAACTCCAGGCTTAGAAGGAAAGCTTCAGAACAGCATGTAAGGAAGCTGGGAAGGTGAAAAGTTTGCAGTAGTTCAAACCAGGGTAGCAGCCATATAATGAGACGGCAGAAAGAAGAGAGAGAGAATGAGAGGCTTAAGAAAAGGAAGGTACCAAAGATGCCCAAGGAACCACCTGAGGGGTTAGCTGTGAGTGGCATTAGAGAGATCTGAGCTGTGGTTAGGGCCACCCAGACCCCACCTAGCTCAAAAATCCTTCAAGCAGGCATTATCTCATTTAGCTCCATGAGGCACTAGAGGACTCAGTGCAGGGTGAAGATGTGGAGAAAAGGGGAAGTTATTGTTTTACTCTGTTAGTGATGGCTGGGAAACCTATAAAATGGGCCACTTGTTCTGGAATTGGTTGCAGTTTTAGTGCTTAGATGTTCTTTGTATTACTGCAGCAATATATTCCCCCTTGACCTCAATTTGAAGAGGCTTCTACAGAAACCTCAAATGGCTTTGAGCCTGAGAATGCTTCGAATTGTTTGTAAGTCTCTCTGAGACTCCGAATCTTGTTGAGACTCCTATTTCTTTTTTTTCCATATATATTTTTTATTGTAATACTGTACGGAGTGGTTACAGTTACATTAGCAGAGTAATGAGTATATTTACTATCAAGCATTGTTACCTCCTCCTTTGTTTTTCCCCTACCATGCCTTCCCTCTGTACCTCCCCAACTCCTCCCTCACTGCCCCCCCGAAATTGTAAAATTCATTTTCAACCTAGTGGATTGTACATCTCATTGTTACAGTGGGTCAACCTGTATCCTTATTTAATCATTTTGTTGTATCCTTTCCCCTCCCCAAATTATAAATATATATACATATATGTATATAAATACACATATATGTATATATGCATACATATATATATTTATATATATATGATGCAGGACACCAGAATCAGATACAGTGAAAACAGGGGTTAAACCATGGGGGAAGAACATACAAGAGAAACAAAAAAAAAACATCAGTACATTTTATAAACATTAAAAATAATAGCAAGAAAGAAAAAACCACTTGTGTCCTTGTCTTGGGGTTCATTTTACTTAACATCATCTTTCATGGTCATATGTACATAGCTTTTGAGCTGTTTTGCTTGTCCTAGACAAGCAAATAAGGGAAACCATGGGACCTATGTTTCTTTGGGCCTGGCTTACTTCACTTAGTATAAATTTTTCCTAACATTTCCATTTCCTAACAAATGAGGCAATGTCATTCTTTCTGATGGAGGCATAGAATTCCATTGTGTGTGAGTGAGTGTGTATTACATTTTCTTGATCCATTCATCTACTGAGGGGCATCTGGGTTGGTTCCATATCTTAGCTATGGTAAATAATGCTACAATAAACATGCTTATGCTGGTAGCTATGGTATAACCTTGTTTGTGATTGTTTGGTAAATGCCCAAAAGTGGGATTGCTGGGTCATAGGGAAGTTCTATGTAGAGTCTTTTGAGGAACCTCCATACTGCTTTCCAAAGTGGTTGAACAAGTTTACACTCCCACAAACAATGAAGTAGGGTTCCCTTTTGGCCACATCCACTCCAGCATCTGTTGTTACTAGATTTCTTGATTATAGCCATTCTAATTGGATTGAGGTGGAATCTCAATGTGGTCTTGATTTATATTTATTTTAAGGCTAGAGAAGTTGAGCATTTCTTCATGTTTCTACTGGCCATTCTTATTTCCTCTTCAGAAAAGTCTGTCTTTAAGTCTTTAGTCCACTTATTAATTGAGCAATTGTTCCTTTGAGGATTTGTTGTTAGAGGATTTAATTTTTTTGAGTTCTAAGTATATTTTAGATATGAAACCCTTGTTTCCATCTACTGGATTGGGGTTTAGCTTGTTGCTGTTTTTCAAGGAGCTTCAGGAGCCTCATTAAATTGTTGGTTTCAGACTTCTCTGAAAAGAAAATAAAAATGGCCAATAGACACATGAAGAAATGCTTAACTTCTCTAGCCATAAAAGAAATGCAAATCAAAACAACATTGAGATACTACCTCACCCTAGTTAGAATGCCTATAATCAAGAAGTCTAATAACAACAGATGCTGGAGGGGATGTGGACAGAAGGGAACCCTACTGTAGTGTTGGTAGGAGTGTAAACTTGTTCAACCACTTTGGAAAGTAGTATGGAGGTTCCTCAAAAGACTCCACATAGAGCTTCCCTGTGGTCCAGTAATCCCACTTCTAGGCATTTACCTGAATGATCACAAACAAGACCATACTAAAGCTACCAACACAACTATGTTTGTTGCAGCATTATTTATCATAGCTAAGATATGGAACCAACCCAAATGCCCTTCAATAGATGAATGGATCAAGAAAATGTGGTGTATATATGCAATGGAATTCTATACCTCCATCAGAAAGAATGACATTGCCCCATTTGTTAGGAAATGGAAAGACTTGGAAAAAATTATATTAAGTAAGCCAGGTGCAAAAAACATAGGTCCTACAGTTTCCCTTATTTGCAATAACTAGTATATATCTGAGACAAGCAGGAAAGGTCATATAAGACAATGTTAAGCGAAATGCAGCCCAAGATAAGGATACAAGTGGTTTTTTTTCTTTCTTGCTATTGTTTCTAATGTGTTTATAAGGTACCATGTGATTTTTGTTGCTTTGTATGTCCCTCCCCCACAGCAGAACCCATGTTTTCACCGTATTGGATGTTGGTATAATTTGGGGAGCAGAAGGGAAAAAAAAAATTGTTTAAATAGGGATATAGGTTGACCCATTGCAACAATGAGATGTACAAGACGCGATGTAGTAAAACAAACTTTACAATTTAGGCAGGGTGGGGGGGGTCTGGTTGTGGAGATAGGAAGGGATGGTAGGGGAAAAACAAAGGAGGAGGCAACAATGCTTGATAAGAAATGTACTCATTACCTTGCTCATGTGATTGTAAACCCTCTGTCCAGTATTTTCACAATATAAAACTTATTTAAAAATAAAACAAAAATAAAAATGAAATGGACAACCTACAGACTTTTGCACCTCTTCTGAGTCACTACCTTTGCCTACTCAATCTGAAGTCACCACATCACTTTTAAGATTCCAGTGGAATTTATTGGTATCTAAGTTTTTGCTGGTTTTGTTCACTGGCTTCCCTCAAACTAGAATGTAACCTCATGAGAATAGAGTTCTCATCTCTTACTACTGGTTCTTCCTGACTTGAAACAATCTTGTGTATAGTACCTTTGAATGAATATTTTTTAATTAATCATGCAATCAGTTACTTCCAATATCTTAATAAGAGTCAGGAGCTATTTTCCCCTTCTTCTTTAAAGTCTGCCCCATATCCAACCTGCCTTATTTATGTGAATGTTTTGACATATGTGGCCAAAATATTGCTTTAATCATGTTCTCGTTTCTAAACTTTCAAATCTCCCTCATATAATTGAAGGTTTATACAACCAGGACTTTCTTGAGTAATTTAATTTTCCAACCAAAATGGCACATTTAGTTTTCTTTGGACCATCATTATTTTTCTTATTTTTCCTCTACAATCTGTTTTCTTCCTGGTATGCCTTTCTGCTTTCATTCAATGTATACAACTACTATCCAATGTGCAAGCACTTCTCTTGTGTGTGGTCTTGGATTTAAAAGTACTGACATATGCTTCCTGTCAGTACATACCAAAGTCTGTGTGGAGGGACATTTGTCTGTGTAGTGGAAGAAAAATCATTTCTCATTCATTTTCTTGATGTGTGTGTGTGTGTGTGTGTGTGTGTGTGTGTGTGTGTGTGTGTACACACACACATACTGATATTGGGGCTTGAAATCAGAACCTGGTGCTCTTGCCTGGCTTTTTTACTCGACTGGGGCTCTATCACTTGAGCCACACCTCCATTTACAGCGTTCTGACTTTCAGTTAGAGATAAAGAGTCTCAAGGACTTTTCTCATCTGGCTTTGAACTGCAATCCTCAGATCTCAGCCTCCTGACTAGCTAGGATTACAGCTACAGTGTGAGCCACTGGTTTCCAGCTATTTACTGGAATTTCGAAAGCTGAAGAATCAGCAGTAATGTAACTGATGGCATTTTAAAGAGGTTTCTAGATGAGTGTCTTGAGTCGGGTCTGTGTGTCTGCAACTTGTGTTGTCACATCATCATCATCAAAATTTTAATTGTGCTTAAAATTTCAACACATGTTTCTGACCAGGAGCCTTTAGGAGAGGTGGAAGTATCTATAATTTTTAAAAAGATGGAAATGACTTTATACTTGTATCACATAATCCTTGTATATTCTCTTGCAGTCCTGTGGCAACATCTACAAAGGCCTGGCTCAAACTGGTGCCTGGGGCTGTTTCGATGAGTTTAACCGAATCTCGGTGGAGGTCCTTTCGGTGGTGGCAGTACAGGTATGCAGCCGGAGGAAGGGAGGCCCTACGTCTTCATGTTGAGCATTGTGAAAATCCTCAGCTCTTGATTCTTGCCTCGCCTCAGCACCCACCTCCCCTCAGCACCCACCTCCCCTTCCCCCTTTCCATTCCCTGTCCCTTTTCCCCTTCTGAATTGAGTCAAAAGGAGGTTCCTCTCAACTATCACACCCTTCAAAATACATCCTTCATTGTGAAATAGGAATAAAGAATACCTGTTCTATCTGACTTATAGGAAGTATTAATCATGAAGACACAACCCAGCTCCTTTGAAAGGCCAGGCACTATGGATTTACACAGAGACTTAAATTTCAGCTCTTCAATTTCCTATCAGAGTTCTTTAAAGAAGATGCTCCACCTTGGCCTCGTTCACTTTCTATTATCTATAAAGAGTGGAATACAGTACCAGTACTGATGACTGAAATCCTTTGTTGAGGCTTCATCTAAAAAAACCAATTTCCTCTTCACAACACACAGAAAGCATTTACTGAACACTCACTGCATGACAAGCACTGTGGTAAAATTTCAGTGAAGATGCCAGGACACAATTCCTGTCTTCAAAAAGATTCTTGAGCTGGGTGCTGGTGGCTCATGTCTGTAATGCTAGCTAATCGGGAGTATGAGATCTGAGGATCGAGGTTCAAAGCCAGCCTGAGCAGGAAAGTCTGTGAGACTCTTATCTCCAATAAACCACCAGAAAACCAGAAGTGGCGCTGTGGCTTAAGTGTTAGAGTGCTAGCTGAAGAGCTGAGGCACAGAGCCCAGGCCCAGAGTTCAAGCCCCATGACTGACAAAAAAAAAAAAAAAAAAGATTCTTGAGTTCCTGAGATAGACATGAGTACTTTCTCATGTTCTCACAATCGTTTGATATACATATGGCACAAACTGTCAAATCCATTTTCTTATAGCCAGTCCTTGAAAGGCTGGAGAGGATCTGAATGGTGTAAGGACCCCATAGACAGTGGGAGTTGTAGAAGGAGGGAAGGCAAACGGTGAATAAACCTTGTTCACAAGACTTTGTACCACACACATATACGATGCCCCACTACTCCATCTATTATGCTCACCATCTATGTGAAGAAACTCAAGTGGAGAACAAAAGTAACTTGCCCAAGGGCAGGGATATTCTTGCAAAGTAAAAAGACCAGGATTTGAACCCAGCACTCTTATCTGTATCATCCAGATGCAGATCTGAACACAGATATGATCCTGAGGGGTGAACTATTAGAAAAAAATAGGCTAGACGGGCAGTTTCAAACCAAGCAAGATACAGGTATAAATGCCTACTTCAGTAGGCTTCCAGGACCCTGAGGACTTCTAGGAATAAAGTTATGCTCTCTTTGGCTGCAGTTTTGAGGAGGGACTGGACAACAAGAAGTTAGGGGACTGAAGTCAATCAAAGAGTCTCTCACAGGGTCTTTGTTGTTACAATAAAAGCTGTAATAAGCCTGGAGCTGGTTGCTCATGCTGTAATCCTAGCTACTCAGGAGGCTGAGATCTGAGGATTGCAGTTCAAAGCCAGCCCAGGCAGGAAAGTCCATGAGACTCTTACCTTCAATGACCCACCAGAACACTAGAAGTGGCACTGTGGCTAAAAGTGGTAGAGCACTAGCCTTAAGCAAAAAAAGTTCTGGGACAGTGCCCAGGCCCAGAGTTCAAGACCCAAAACTGACAGAAAAGGAAAAAAAAAAGCTCTAGTAAAGCTTGAGACAGTAGTGTAGCTGCTGTTTCTAGTTTGTGCTCACATACCATACAATAAAAAATGATTGAAACTGCCTTCTTTTTTTGTCCCCCAAAACAACGTGTTGATAGTTCAGAAGAATAAAAACCTAGCTATACAACATGCTTTGGTATCCTCTGTAAACCTTTCAGGCCCAGCCCAAGGCCAGAAGAAATTGTTCATTCTACACTGACGTTTTTCTAAGCAGGAGTGTAAAGCTAAAGGGTGGTTAGAAAAATGAGGGTATGATGGAGCATCGGGCAGATCACACATTGTGACCTGGAAAATGGTGGAACCAGCAGTGTCACTTCCGCTTTCCTATGTATCCTGGCAGGAACCTGCTTCCATCTACAACACCCCCCAAACCATCACCCCTCTCACCCCATAGGCTGGCTCTGTTACTAGTAGGATGGACTTGGAGCTATGGATAAGCACGCTGAAGCAAGTACAAGCTGAAGAAGGGTGGAACTCACCCCATCTGCTGCTCTACCACCAGTCTTATCTCCAGCAGCCACTGAGAGCCCTACAGGCCATCAGAGGCCTTCTTAACATAAGATGGCCAGCCTTTACACGGCTCACATTTGATAGCCAGATGCTGCTCCTCTCACTGACCCTTGGTAAAACTCCCCCCACATTATCCAAATGTAGGGCTCTTCTCTCCTTTAAATTAGTGAGATATAGCTTTCTCCTGTAGGTTGGCTCTGTTTACTAGGCATAAGATAGTTTGCCTAAATACTATCTTACACCAAAACCCTAGGGAGTCCCACCTTGCTCAAAAGGAGCTGATTATATTCATCTCAATGTATGACATGGACTAGGTTGAAAACACTTCCACAGGAAAATCAACAAACTCTGCACTTCAGAATCATTTTTGTTTTCCCCAGAGAACTGGCTGTTAAAAGACTTACCATTATACCTCAGTCATGTAAGGATGTAATCTTGGGGTTGCCAGATCTTTAAATTTTAAAAGGTAAATGTTCATGTTTTGTTTTTGTTTGGGGTTTTGTTTTTGTTTTGGTGTGTGTGTGTGTGTGTGTTTGCTAGTCCTGGGGCTTGAACTCAGAGCCTGGGCACTGTCCTTGAGCTTCATTGTGCTTAAAGCTAGTGCTCTACCACTTGGGCCACAGCCTCTTCTGGCCTTTTCTGAGTAGTTTATTGGAGTTAGGAATTGCATAATGACATTTTTACCCAGGCTGGCTTTGAACTTTGATCCTCAGATCACAGCCTCCTGAATAGCTAGGATTACAAGTGTAAGCCACTGGAACCTTGTTGACATTCATGTTTTTATAAGAAACTGTCAGTGGCTTAAATGGATTAAATATTTGAAGCTGTATAGTGTTACAAACAAAAAGAAGATTATTTAGTCCATAAGTCTAGATGCTTGAGGGCTGTATATGGTGATGGCTTCTTGCTGGCAGATTCCCAAGGTGGCATAATACATTACAAGTAAAAGACAGGTGTGTGTGTGTGTGTGTGTGTGTGTGTGTGTGTGTGTGTGTGTGTGTGTGTGTGTGTGTGTGCACGCACGCCCTGACCTCTGTCCACATTATAAAGCCATCTAATATAATCAGGGTTCTACCATGATGACCTCACTGAATCTTAACTACTTCCTAAATGCTCCACTTTATCTCCGGAGTTGGATTAAGTTTCCACACTCTTAATATTTCACAATGGGGATTAAGCTTCAACTCACTCTGATTGAAGCAGAAATCAAGCATGCGTTCTGGCTTCCCCTCTGGGTGGTCAACTCACAACTTGATACCACAAATGATGCCTTCTAGGGTCTGTTTTGGGTTTGATCCATTTAGAAGTAAAAGGCATTGGGTTAAAAACATAAATAAAACACTTTCTCAAGCACTACTACTACTACTCAAGTTTGGGAATGGTTCTGAAACTCTCAACAGAAGGTGAGGCTTTTCCCTATGATGGCTCTCTAATATGTCACCTCTAATATGTCCTAGAGTTTTTCTCCTTACTCCTACTGCAGGTATTTATCTTTTTATTCCTTTGCCTTCTCCACTCACCTTTGTCTGTCTCTTTCATCTCTGCATTTATGGTTTTCTATACTCTCTCTCCTCTGGCTGCTTGCCACAGAACTTAGAGGACATCTCTTGTTCTCACCAGCCAGGTTATTCTTCTGTGCCTAGATTCCCTTAAGTTCAGAACCATTCGTCATGCAGAATTACATCTGTGGGTGTCTTGGGGTGATATTTAAGGCTAAGAGATGGCCAAAGACTATCTCAGCATGGGCAGCCAAGGAGTCTTTGCTCAGTCCCCAGTGAGCTCTGAGTAGAAAGAGAGCAGTGAGGGCCAACATGGTCAATGTGGAGCCTGTCTTGGGTTCCAGAGATTGTGTAAGCAATTGGGGTCATTTAAATGACTTTTGATACAGTGGGGCTTGACAAGCAATGGAGTGGGAAGGATTCAGTGCATAGACACTAAAATCAGACTGCCAGTTTTCAATTCTGGGTTCTGCTTCTTACTAGCCATGTGACCTTGGGCAAGTCTATGTCTTAAGGTTTACCCCTAGGAAACAGTTCATGGTAGCACCTACTGGAGATAGTAATCATTTTCAACGTCATTTAGAATCTTTTATTGCACTGCCAGGTACCTAGACCAGGACTTTGTATATACCAGGTAGATATATCACTAGACTACATCTTCAGCCCTTTTAATAGTTTAAAATGAATTGCTATGTAAAGCACTTATGTCAATGCCATATAGATACCCAATAAGTATCACAATGATAATAGTAACAGTGGTGATCGCAATGTTAGTGGTGGTGGTGATGCTGGTGGCAGTAGTGATCATTATTATGATGTGATGATGGTGATCACATTGATAATGGTGATGCTGATAGTGGTAATGATGGTTGTCATGATGATGGTTATGGTAGCAGTGGTGATGAAGGTAGTGATGGTGATGATGATTATGGTAGTTATAGTGATGATGATGATAAAGGTGATCGTAATTATTATTATGATAATGGTTATCATGACAATGGTGATAAGGTGATGTTGATAGTAGTGATGATGGTGACAGTGATGGAGATAATGATTATTATGGTGGTGGTGATCATAATGATGATGATGGTGATGGTGCTGTCCGGTGATACTGATGATGGCGATGATGACGATGTTTGTGTTGGTGATGATGAGTATGGTGGTAATGAGAATGATGGTGATTATGGGGTGGTTATTATGGTGGTGGTGGTGGTAGTGATGCTGACAATGGACCAAAGGGAAGTAGCTAGCTGGTACAT